CTGGGCTTCGGTCCCAACGAACGAGCAGACGAGGAAGCAAAATTAGCAGCACAGGGTAACTCCAGCAATCCCAAGGATTTGCCAGTATTCCTACGCCATAAGCCTCTCCCCTCCAGCATCTCTGCCCTTCGGCAAGAGAACCTCACAGCACTCCACAAACATTGGAAGCGACGTTGGAAATCGTCCCCCCGTTACCCACGTCTCAAAGACATCGACAAAAACCTTCCCTCCAAAAACTTCCTCTGACTCGTTAACAATCTCGACCGTCGACAATCTTTGATCATTGCACAACTTTGCACGGGCCATATCCCGCTAAACCAACATCTATTTCAAATACACCGTTCTGAAACACCCACGTGCCCACACTGCCAGGGCCTCACCGTTGAAACTGTCCGACACTACCTCTTCGTTTGCCCACACTATCAACACGAACGGCACATCTTACAGCAGAAATTAAAACGCAAAGCAGATTCCATATCTTTCCTACTCTCCAAACCCAAGGCTACTAAACCCCTTCTCAACTACATCCATGCCACCAAACGTTTCAAAACACAAGCATCCTCATCCCGCCGCGACCCAGAACTCATGCACATTCTTCTAGGCCCTGGACACTAGCACCTCCTGCGCGTCTTGCTCTCAACATCCCCTCTCCTCCGAATCTACCATCCTCCTCCCTCCCTTCCAACCGGTAGGAGCCTTCTGTTGAGTAGCACTTAAAACCCCATCATCTCCCGTCTTACGGGTTTAGTTGCCAATCCCACTTTGCATTATATTTTATTATCCAAGCCATTTTCTTACTCAGGGTGTAACAGGGGAGCGCGCTCTAAAACGGTGGCGGATATGCCGGCCCGCTCCATACTCCACTGCCTTGTCAGTGGGGGGGTGTGGCATTGCACGGCTCTTGTAGCTTTCCCGGTCGGTGTTGACTTAATACTCCGTTCTAGTTGCTGCTCCTCCTTACATTCCTGTCCACATGTACTGTGTACCATGGGGCGGAGCCCTCTTGCACAATAAACTAGACACAAAAAAAAAAAAAAAAAA